AGTATTACGTAAAGCAATTTTTGAAAATTTTTGACTCCCCTCCTTTCCCCATGTAACGAGCTGTAACGTTTTTCTGTACCCCCCCTCCCCATAGTAAAACGTTACGTAACCACCAAGTGATCATTTTTACCTAAAAGTCACAATTATGTGGCGTAAAGTACCGGAAACAATGTTACGTAACGCGTAGTTAAAACCCCCCTCCCCCCTGTAACGCATCGTAACGTTTTACAAGAACCCCCCCTCCCTCCAAATTCGTTACGTAATACTTAAACGCTCCCTCGGGGCCTCACATTAATTCAGGACGTGCAGTGGGGTTTCGTCCCATTTCCCGCACATCCTACACCTAGGATCCACTTCGTGTTCCATTTTTTAACGATGTCCCATTATCACAGCGACATAGAGCCTAGTTTCCCTCTAATTCAATTCAGGTCACCAGGTCCCTTACTTCCCATACTAGGTCCAGAACTTGGTATGTTTCTATCTGGTCCAGCTATCAATATACCCTTTACATACCTATACATATGCATGGGTTCATTATAAGAATGATGGAAAATTATTAACAGTAACTTATGCACTACTAAAATCGGCAATCAATTATAAAAATAATAAATTATTTTAACTCTGGTCCAGTGTTGCCAACCTCAAAATAAAACGTATGGTACATATTTAGAAAAATTATGGTACATTATGGTATGCACCAAACAAATATTATGCCACAAATTATGATACATTTTAGGACTAAAATTCAAGCAAACAGGCACTTTAAGAAGTCATATTTATTTTAACACAAACTTTGATAAAATAAAATAAATTAGGTATAAACAAAAAAAACTATGGTAAAAAAATAATAAATTATTTTAAACTAAATAAATTAACACTTTTAATCAAAAATAATATCCCATTCATCACAGTCTTGATTATTGTATAAATTCTCTTTAGTCATGTATTTGCACAAATTTTCTGAGGGCTCGAAATTTATACAATTTTTTTTTAAATTTTTTATACCGCTCGAAAAAGTCTTTTCTTAAAAACCATAGAGGTGAAAAACAAAAGTTTTAATAGAAAAGAACATAACAGATATAACTAAGAGCAGTTTTTGTTTATGAAAATTTAATACTATACTGGCAGGACTGATCGCAACGTTGCCTAATTTATTTTCGGTGCAAAAGCATGCTTAAAAATTATATTACTTAAATGATGTTAAAACAATATTGTAAAAAAATAAATTATGGTATTATAGTACGCTAAAAAATAGAAGGTACAGACCTTTAAAATTATGGTACAAATACCATAATTATGGTACGGTTGGCAACACTGCTCTGGTCTAAAATAATTATAATTAAATTTGATAATAATTAATAAAATAAATTAATATACTAATTTAAATAAATACCTAGAACGTACCTACGAGGACGAGTAAAACTTAAAATGTCAAATAAATTGGATACTCTCTAAAAATTAATTAGTCAAAAATGACTAATTACTACAGTGGTATGCCATGGGTTTACCATGGGATAGCATAGTATCCCCGATATAATAGCCAGTTCTTAAGTAAAATTGTCCGCATAATCCGAAAATGTTGTCAAAAGTTATAAAAGTAAAACAATTTTTGAGATATAGTCAATTTTCCATATATTGACTATATCTCAAAAACTGCTCTACTTTTATAATTTTGAACAGTATCTTCGAATACAGGAGTCAATTTTACATAAGAATTGGATATTATATCGGGGAGACCATGCTATCCCATGGTATACCATCGTATAAGTGAAAAAGCAGCCACTAATATAACTGTAGAAATTAGTCATTTTTGACTAATTCATTTTAGAGTACGATCGAAAAACGATTTGGCTGTAAATTAGTTTTATTTCGTTTGATAAATTGTTTGGATATTGTAGCTGAAAGTTTGACAGTCACTTTTTATCGAATTGGAGACTGATACAAAACTAAATTAAATTATGTCTGATTGCGTAGGCTGAAATATTGACCAGACTTATATTTAGGAAAAAAAATCGCATAATCGACTAATGGAATTAATTATAACCTTGCGTCATTTGGTTCCCATAAATGACGTCATTTAAATTATAGTAGCCAAATTTATCAGATTCAAAGGGTGAATATTAAAATAATTAATTTGTTTAAAAGCTTTAAACATTATTTCATTATACCACCTCATATAGTGTTTAAAAATAAGGTATTTACCCATGAAAAAGTTTATGAAATTTATTGACTACCACATCATTAATAATAAATAAAATTGCACTTAATACTGACAAATAAAAAATGTATAGCTATATTAATTTTATCTGCAATCTGTATGAGATTATTAAACAATATGATGTTGGCGTTCAATTTTTATAGCTACAAAATAAACAGTGTTCCAATTTTACGTATAGTAAATAAATAAACATGACCTATTGTACGATAAAATAGCAAACATAAACTTTGCCAAAACCATGACATCAAATAGTGCATAGATCCGTTTTCTTTAATTAAATCAATTTGTTTCATAATATCAATATTTTTTATTTTTAATATAAAATTAAGTTAGGTTTTATCGGTAAATATATTTTTCTACTCCGACCTTTAAAACGTGCATGTTTTTATGACACTAAGGGCCGGTTTATCAATGTCCAACTAAAAGTGGCTTTAAGTATCTTACAGTTACCTTTATCTGAAAGTTATCCGAATAGAAGTCTTTTTCTTCACCTCGTACGGTTACAGTTTCTTATCTGCCAGTTTAGCAATTCGGCAATTGGGCAACACTGTCAAGATACATTTTAATTGGTTAAATTTAAATTCATGGCATGCGCATAAAACAAATAACCTCAAAAAAATAAAAATACCTACATAAATATATTTTATACAATTTATTATATTTTATTATTTGTTACTCACTTTAATTTAAAAATATCGCATTTTTAAAATAATTTTATCAAAAAAATCTCTCGGTTCAAATTGTTCTCTTGATACGTGGGCAAATATGTAGAACTAGTTCGTACATATCCGTAAAAGTTTATATTTCCTCCTCTATTTTTGCTTCTCCAGCGGATATCTAAAAAAAGTCAAGTCAACAAGTTAAGACACTTAACTGGACATTGGTAAACCGGCCCTGAGTGATCTTTTAATTAAACATTGACGAGCTTTATGACGTTTTAGTCAACGGCTAAAGTTAGCTTTAAGTTAGTTGACAGTTATCAAATGTCATACAATCATCAAAATAAACTGCTTTTTTTTAAATAATAGTACCTAAACGTAAAAATATTTTATTATCTCAATACAAAAAAAATATTAAACAGTTTCTTATAAAGGTCTCCATGCATAAAAAATTTCGGGTAGACTAACTGTAACACATCCTTTTTACTTTCACTGTAAAAACTGCTTCTATATCGGATTTAAAGGTTGTTAGTCCATTTCAAGACAAAATACAGTGACATTTTGAAAAAGAAATGTTTAAATTAATTACTAATACAATATTTTTTATACCCTATAATATTTGTCGTAGAAAAAGTTTATAAACTTTTCTAAAAACTCATTTTATTAAACACTTGCTCTAAAGCTCTTTTGTGCCTAATTAAAATTCGTAAAGAAAATGACGTTTATCAAAGTTGATACATAATATACTATTTATCACAGACCTATTTATAAATCTAAATGTTAATTCTATTTTATGACACCGACCCAACATATATTTTTAAGTAGGTATATGTTTAGAGAACCTTTGTGCTGGAGTCCAATGTATTAGACAGTCCATTATTTAAGCAAATTAAACGAGATTTTATTACGGAAGAGTTTAAATTAGATCTGAACTTTAAAAATGTCAAAGTTAGACTATTTTTGATGAAAATATATACCACAGGTGTTATAAACAGATTCAATGTTTTATATCGAATCGAAATTTTTGTATTAACAGGCTTAACAAGCTTAATTAAAATGGCATAAAAACGCAAATATTTCTTAAGGAGCCTATGACTTCCCTAAAAAGAATATATTTAAAAACGTAATCAAAAAGTGCTTTAAAACGTAATGGAAAAATATGGACTAATTATATGTATATACCAAGACTGCAATGAAGGTTCGAAAATATTCCAGGAATATACCCTATCATCTACATCTAGGAATAATCCGCTTCATTCTAGGAATATTCCTAGAATGATCCTCTAAAACTTCCAAGCACCATCTAAGAACATTCCCAGTGAAAATTCATTGGGAATATTTCATAGAATAATCCTCTACAACTTCCAAGCAACATCTTGGAACATTCCCAGTAAAGGTTCTTTATATTCAAAAAACAATAAATAATTTTCTCTTTCTACAAATTGGTTATATTCCAGGAATATGCCCTATCATCTAGGAATAATCCGCTTCATTCCAGGAATATTGATTGGGAATATTCCTAGAATAATCCTCTAAAACGTCCAAGCACCTTCTGAGAACATTCCCAGTGAATAATCATAAGTTTAGTTGCAATATACCTCTCACCGTTGCTTACGCACGATTTAAATTATATAAACCCTTATAGGTTAAAAATATCAGTTGGAGATGTGCGTCTGTGATGGCACAGCTTAACAATGATTAGAGTGGGACTGATCTACTCAGTAACTAATAATGGCTAGTTAAGTTAGGTTCCTGGGTATAAGTGGCCATAAGAGCTAGGAGTAATCCCCAAATTATATTAAGAGACATTCTGGGAATATTCTCCTAACAATACCTAAGTCTTATGCATGCCGCTACATGGTATATTCTTTGATGACTGGGTTAATCAAAAAGCGGACATTTGATTACGACAGAAATATTCCTGGGAATATTCTGGTACGCTTGAAATAATCATGGGAATATTCCTGACATATGCAGGGAATGGTATTTTGCGGTCTTAATATATTAAATTGGATTTAATTAAATTATCTTATTGTACAAAGCAAAGCTGGAAAAGTATGTTTCTTTTAACTTTATTTTAAATTTATATATTTTTTTACTTAGAAATTTTGTTTTTGTTACAGTCTGACGGAAATACGTCTTTTTTACGCGCAGCGCGCAACGGCCAACTTGACAAGGTTTTAGAGCACCTGAAATCGAATATCGACATCAACACCAGTAATGCGGTAAGTATCGAGTTTGTTTCAAATATTTGCTCCTCAATTTAAAAACAACTGCACCAAAAATGTACTTTAATATTACTGTAAATAAAGTATTCGATTTATTGTTGCAAAACTGGATAAAAAACATTCAAGTCAATTCAGCTTAAAACAAGTATCAAAAAACAAATTATTTTGTACACTATTTTAAGCTATGAAATTTGATCAAACATTTAATTTAATATAGAATTATAAAATTATTTTTTTTTGTAAATCTCTTAAGCATAAAACTATGACTAAGAACAGAAAATGGGTTAACTTTCTGGTTTCAAACTGAATATAGGAATGATTGCATCCAAAATTTAATTACATCAAAATATACACAAATTTCCATTAATGCATTAACACTATTCAATTTTACGGATGCACGATTTTAATGAATTCTAATTAATATATGCATTCCACCATTAAATAAAGCTTGCATCATAAAGATTAATTATTTTTGTATATGAATCATATTTCCTACTAATTCCAATAAAACTGTCTTAGAATGGCCTGAACGCTCTCCACTTGGCCTCAAAAGACGGTCATGTAGAAATAGTCGAGGAGCTACTCAAACGGGGGGCTGTCGTGGACGCCGCCACTAAAAAAGGAAATACAGCGCTCCACATAGCCTCTCTAGCGGGTCAAGAGGATGTTGTCAAACTACTAGTCAATCATGGTGGTTCAGTCAATGTACAAAGTCAAAATGGCTTCACGCCGCTTTATATGGCCGCTCAGGAGAACCACGACAATGTCGTCAAGTATCTTCTTGCCAATGGAGCCAACCAAAGTCTTTCAACTGAGGTAAGAACTATATTTATAGATAGGTACCTGATACATTTGCAAACGTTTTTGTTTACTTAAATACAAAAGTCATTTTTTTATTAATACTACAGATTCATGGATCATTTATTCTCAAGATGATATTTCTTAACTTTGCATGAAAACCTCGATCCAGGTTTAGATTATATACCTACCTATCACATAATTTGCTAAAAAACTATTCGTTTGGTCTATCTCTTATCCATTGTTGAACAATGTTGAACAATGATTGTTCTCTAATTGTTGAAAGATCTCTTGCTTTATAGGTACTTGTATTTAATAAGGGTATAATAATCCCAGGCAACACAGTGACGTGAATATCACGTTTAATTTACGTCTACGGTGACGTCGAAGTCACCAACTTAGACACGTCTTATTGTCGTAAAATTGACGACAATATGTCACAGCGATTTCACGTGTAAAATCACGTAATATTACGTAATTATTTACGTAATTTGACGTGAATAATCACGTAATATTTCTTGAATAATATATGATTAGGTCATAGTATGACCGTCATACACTGATAAAAATAATTACCGATACTGATATCAGATATTTCAATGCGAAATGTGATTTTGTCAAAATTAAAAAAACAAAAAAAATTTAGTTGTACTTTTAAATTTTAAGAAATAAATAGGTAAACCCTACTATATATAGTATATATATACTACTATAGTAGATATATATTTAGTAAATAATTAATAATCAAAATAAATGTATGTAAAAAAGTAGAATATCAAAAAAAAAATTGTTAGTTAATCTTTGCAGAAACACATACCTACATATATGTCTGGCATATATCTGGCATTAAAATATCGGATATAAGAATAAATAATTATTTTTACTAGTGCATAAAGGGCTTTTGGTTTAATAATTAATAAAACATGTTTTAAGTTGCTTAAAACATTTATTATAAAATCAAACACATTAAATTTTAAGACTGATGACTAAGGTCAATATTTTAGGAGCTTATGTAGGTACTTCATTTAGGTGTTATGACTTCGTTACGGAATATACTGAGTAATTAAAACATTAAAAAACAAACAAAAATTGACCTACCTGACACAGCCAAGTATTATCAGTATAAATGGTTTGTTCTATGTATTAATGCCACAGATTATAAAAGTTGGACGCTTGAATCCATAGATAAGGGATTGGTTGGATGGGCGGGGGGTTAGTATTAAATTTTTGTTCCGTGACTACTGCGCCATCTAGCGGGTGTAGTCAAAAATATATATTAAAATTATTGTTTAAATTTTTTTACTGGATGGTACTGATCCTTTTTTTACCTCCACTAGATAAATAATTCTAATATTTTTCTAGGAAAGTTCAAAGAGTAATAATAAAACATAATAAAACTAAATTTTTGTAATTATTTAATTTGTCAAAGTTACAAAATATATAAAAACAAAAATTCAAAACACAACTTAAAATCATATCTACATCATATGAATTTATCTAACTATTTCATTCCTATTCCTATAATATTATTCTATAAGGTAAAATAAATTTATAAATAAAAGAACAACAAAAATTTTAATACTTGGGGCTTAGAGAATCAACATATTTTTTGTTATTTGGGCAAAAAGCGGGACATACCTTATCGTTTTTTGGAAATCGATGCATTTTTAAACTATCTCCCCTGCTTTTGCACTTTCGTACACAACAAGAATAAACCATAATAATGAATACACAATACAAACTTAAAAGGTTATAAATACTTCAAGTCAAATTATTATGACAACTGTCATTATGACAACGGTAGTCTCGGTGACAAAAACAATTTTGGCGACATTAGCGCCTCTGGCAAGCATAGTCTAAACTTCTCAGCGGACAAGTTTTTGTACAGTAAAGATGCACAACCATGCTTGAATCAACCATATTGTTTTTTAGGAATAAACCACAATCCACACATTGTGTGGATTGTGGAATAAACGTTCCCTCGCTTTGTAAGTAGTGCCAACTTACCCAAGGCCAAAGAGAAACAGGGTTGCCAGGTGTAAAAATTAATATTATCGAAGAGGGTTGACAAAATGATCAAATTTTCAGAAATTTATATAAAATTATACAAAAATTGCATAAAAACAAGCAAAACTACGCGGCGGATTAAATTATGTTACAATTATCGATTATTATTTAAATTTTACTATTTTAAAAAAGAAAATTATAAAACATCTGGCAACACTGTAGATAAATAATTTTACTAAAATTAAAATTGTGATTGCCAACTGCAGTAACATGTTAATTTCTTATTTTGTGATAAAATGATAAAGGATTTAAAAATCGCGAATTTGTTTTAAAAAATCCATTGATCAATAATTATTAATCTATCTTAATTAGTTTAAAACCAAATAATGTTTAAAATTATTTTAATAAAATATTGCACGTTGATTCTCCGTCGAAATAACGTAAATTAAATAAAAATAATAATTTTTGTTTTTAAAAATATTCCAAAACTTTTTGTCGGCCTATTAAAACGGGCCAACTGTTTCTTATTAATTATCACTATATTTTGATATTTTCTTAAAAATGTCTTTATCTGTTCACGTGATAATGACGTCATTTATTGGTTATCATCGACCTAAGTTAATAATTTGTCGTGTTTTGGTGAATTTTGAGACGTCGAAAAATGGTTGAAATGTAACTTCGACCAAATTCGACCCAATTCGTCGACGATTCTACGTGAGTTCTACGACCCTGTGTTGTCTGGGAATGTACTTTCTGTCAATTCCAAATTATTTGAAAAACATTTTATTTCACTTATTATTCTTAAAATATTATTATTAATCAGTACAAAAGCCCGTAAATGTAACCTGAATATAACCACTAATCTCTCGAAATATTGCATATATGAAATTGAATAAATTGAAATTCTCCATCTTTAATGCGAGAAAACGGATGAGAAAGCAAATCTCCAACAATTGCCCCATTTAACTGATATTGACCGAGACAGCTAGCAAACACCAAAATGAAGTATATCTCGATACCAGGAGTGCGTTCGAAATAAGAGTTTACTTTTGATATGGTATAAGGATAGGTATATAATCACGTGACTTTAAATTATACCTGACTTCCTTGTTATTTTCGAACGCCGAGAAGCATATATACCACCTAAGCATGTACCTATAAACTTTAAGTTTTAGCTTGTTATTTGACTGTATACATATAAATAATAAATTATTTTATTTTAACCCTTTAGTTATATGGTCTATTCAAGTTTTTATGAGATATTTTTTGTTTGTTTTTTTAGAGTATATATTTTTTAAATAATTTATTTGAAAAAAATTCTTTCATTTTATTGTTTTTTGTTTTTTTTCTATCAAATTATTAAAAAGATTTATTTTATTAATAAATTATGTTTAGGTAAATTCAACTTATTGTTTTATGTACCCTATGCGCATGTCAAGTAAAACTTAACCAAGTTTACTATTTAGGTACAATATTAAATTAATATTTTATACCACCTAAAACTTGCTTTCCACTACTTTTTTTGTAAATTACGTACCTAATTTAAGAATTTTTCACCTAAAACAAGAAACAACTTTACCTATTTATTTACCTATATTTATAAATTTGGCAACCTAAAATCCCCCCCTCTATATATCAGCTATCTAAAATACACCTTTGTTGTTTATATTTTTCTATTTAAAACAAAAATTAAACAAATTATTAATTAGGTCATGGACTGATAACAAAAATTCCAATAATGACATAAACATTTTCCATCCAAGTTTTACTCTATGATGAGCATTAGGTACTTAAATTTATTAAATCAAAAATTACCACCTAAGCATGTTTTCCTATATATTTAATATTTTAATATAACGGTTCGACGCAGTTTATTTAGAAAGGTAAAACAAACACTGCCTTATTAAAGTTGGCAGCAATGATGAATCGCTCTATTTTTACTTCCATATTTCGTCATTTGTCTTGATAGGCTTTTAATTCTATGGATATTAATGAGCCTGTTTCGCAAGCAATTAATAAGGAAAACACATCGATCCCATTAATTTATAATTTTTGGCTTATTTTTAATATTTCTAAGAAAACGAGATTAATGGGTTTCTTTATAGATTACATAATCTTTATTACGATTTTGTCCATAAAATATTTAAAATTAAAATGTTTGGGTTATACATAATGCTTTGATTTTAAAATAATATAACATCTGTTCTACATATATAAAACATTTTCAGGATGGTTTTACACCGCTTGCTGTTGCTATGCAACAAGGCCACGATAAAGTAGTAACAGTTCTTCTAGAAAATGATACTCGAGGCAAAGTTAGATTACCAGCTTTGCACATAGCAGCAAAAAAAGATGATGTTAAAGCTGCAAAGCTTTTATTAGAAAATGAGCATAATCCTGATGTGACATCAAAATCAGGCTTCACCCCTCTCCATATAGCCTCGCATTATGGTAATCAGCAAATAGCAAATCTTTTAATTCAAAAAGGTGCAGACGTTAACTATTCTGCTAAACACAATATTACGCCGTTACATGTGGCGGCCAAATGGGGAAAAACCAACATGGTTTCGACCCTAATAGAAAATGGAGCTACAATAGAATCAAAAACCAGGGATGGTCTAACTCCACTACATTGTGCAGCAAGAAGTGGACATGAGCAAGTTGTTGATATGCTGTTGGAGAGAGGAGCGCCGATAAGTTCAAAAACAAAGGTAAATACATGTATCATTCATAGGGCTTCATTTAACATCAAAATAAACATTTAATCCGTGGTATCTATTAATATCATTAATCTTTAAACTGCAAAAGTTCACTGAAGTTTAAAATGAAAAGACAATAGCCTCGGAAAGACAATAACTTATCTCAAATTTGCAGTCAGCCCCTAATCTCCATGATTCCTTTTAGAATGGTTTAGCGCCACTTCACATGGCCGCTCAAGGAGATCATGTCGATGCAGCGAGAATTCTGCTCTATCATAGAGCTCCAGTGGACGAAGTGACAGTCGATTACCTAACTGCCCTTCATGTTGCCGCTCACTGCGGCCACGTAAGAGTAGCAAAGTTGCTTTTGGATAGACAGGCAGACGCGAACGCTCGAGCTCTTAATGGGTTTACGCCACTTCATATAGCCTGTAAAAAGAACCGGATAAAAGTTGTGGAGCTGCTACTTAAGCACGGAGCCAGTAAGTTATTGTTTTTACTAGTGAATAGGTTAATTAAATTATTCTCTTAAGGCATTGGAGCCACAACGGAAAGCGGTTTGACCCCATTGCATGTAGCGAGTTTTATGGGTTGTATGAATATTGTAATATACTTGTTACAACACGATGCTAGTCCAGATGTACCAACTGTTAGAGGAGAAACTCCATTACATCTTGCTGCAAGAGCCAACCAGACTGATATAATCAGGATTCTACTTCGAAACGGTGCTCAGGTGGATGCAAGAGCTCGTGAACAACAAACTCCCCTGCATATTGCTTCTAGATTAGGAAATGTCGATATTGTAATGCTTTTATTGCAACACGGAGCTAAAGTTGATACTACGACCAAAGATATGTACTCTGCATTGCATATTGCCGCCAAAGAAGGTCAAGATGAAGTAATTAATATGGCATAGTTTTATTTTATACAGTAATTTAATATTATTGTTTTATAGGTTGTCGCTGTATTAATAGACAACGGGGCTTTGCTTAATGCTACCACAAAAAAAGGATTTACACCCTTACATCTAGCCGCTAAATATGGCCACCTTAAGGTCGCTAAACTTCTACTTCAAAAGGAAGCACCTGTTGACGCCCAGGGTAAAAACGGTGTCACACCTTTACATGTTGCTTCTCATTATGATCATCAAAATGTTGCTTTACTGCTTTTGGATAAAGGCGCTTCACCGCATGCAGCTGCCAAAAACGGACATACTCCGTTACATATTGCTGCTAAGAAAAATCAAATGGATATCGCCAATACCCTTTTGGAATATGGAGCGCATCCCAATGCGGAAAGTAAGGCTGGATTTACTCCTTTACATCTTAGCGCTCAAGAAGGACACACAGATATGACTTCATTGCTTTTGGAACATAAAGCAGATGCAGATCACCAAGCCAGGGTAAGTAATAACAATTCCAGTGGACTTCATCTATTGTAAACTTTTTAAATGACCTAGTGAAGCTAACCTAAACGTTTTTCGGTAACTCACAATTTGTTTAACCAATTTTAAAATGTTAAATGGTTTTAAAAAGAAAAAATGTATAACTAAAAAATATGCATTGCCGGTTCCAGTGATGTGCGATCTATGCACCGGCACAGGTCTCACATTAAGCACATCCTTTCTATAATATGGACACAATATTATTGTGTTTTGATAGAAACCTATAAAGGGATAAGCATATAAGATAACAATATGCAATATGTATATATGGATATTGAGCGCTACGATAATTTTGCCCAGGGCGCAAAATGATCTGGAGGCGGCTCTGAAAATATGTGTTGTCTATTTTGTCAACAGTTTTTTAAACATGTTTGCATCCAAGTGTGTTGGATTCTGAGTAGATTTAAAGTTATGAACCTTTCCAAAGAAAAAAATTTGCTTGTAAGAGAAGATCGATATTTTAAAATAACAAAACAAATATATGCTTTAAAATATTTATTATTACACGTATACCGGCATTAAGCCTTTAAACCATCTTTTATATTAGCTCCATCGCAATGAAATGCTATGCATTTTCTACTGATCTAAATTTCTGTTAAAATTCCAAAAAGAAGCTATATCTTAATTAGGAAGATTCGATACAAAATAATATATTATTTTTTATCGAATCTTCCTAATTAAGATATTTTTTTTTTAATATAAACAAACAATTAAAGTTTTTCATATTTTTTAAACAGTTACCTACTAAATCTTAACATGATAAACCACACAGTTATTGGACACTTAAGGAATATTATTTATTTAAAATTTATATATGCCGTTGTTTTAAAGATTTTAGTTTTTTCTTATAAATATATAAAAACTAACTTTATTTACGTTTACTTAAAAATAAGAATATTTGAATTTTTAATAATAGTTTTATAAAATCATGCATAGTATAGTAATTGGACATTTTATGTAATAATTGGACACATAATATGTGGGTCCATATGGACCATAGTTATCGGACATACATTTTTTATATAAATATAACAACTTTACATCAAATAACATAAATGTTAAATATTGCTGTTTTAGGTAATTTTTTTTTCGTTTTTGTAAATATCATATAATTCATAAATTTCTTTTTCGGATTCCTAATCCCCTGGATTCTGAAGGTAATTACTAATTCCTTGGTCTGACTTCTGAAATAGTTTGTTGCAAATATCATTAACCTTTAAATGTGTGGTATCTCTAGTTTGTGAAGCATTTATAATGTTTAGGCCGGAACATGATTATTAATAAATATCTAATATTTTTTCGGGTGGTATGTTAAAAGTATTTTCCGAATTTATTAATTTTGTTGCCATTAGATTTTTATGTTGTCTATAATGCAGTGTATTTAAATCACTGTTATTCTGTAAGATGTCCTGTGACGAATAAATTACTATAAATTAGTCAAAAATGTCATAGAAAAAAAGCAGCCACTTGTCGTCAACAGCAATTTGTATCCAGGAAATTTAGCAGTTAATTTCTATGAAATATTAGCTATTTTCGCGGAGCTAATCCCGAACTAACTCCGGACATCATAGGCATGCGCTTTTTAAAATTTGGGGTTAAAAATGTAAGTGCGCATGACAAATATTAAAATGCGCATGCCTAGGATGTCTGATATAGTTCGGAATTAGCACCGCGAAAACACCTACTATACGCTGAATCCAAAAATGTCGTCAAAAGTTAAAAAAGTAGAACAGTTTTTGAAATATAATCAATTTAACATATAATATGGAATTGACTATATCTCAAAAACTGCTTAACTTTTATAGTTTTTGACGGTCTTCTCGGATTCAATGGACAATTTTACATAAGAATTGGCTGGTAAATACCCTGGATATAAATAGAGTATGATATTGGACATATCTCCAATAATAGAAATTTTCATTTTTTACCAACCAGTTATTGGACACTGGCCATTTTACTGTTTGTTTTCAGAATTAAAATTAAAACGCATTAAAGTGACAATGTTTAAACTATGAGGAACACATTTATACCACACACTGATCTGTACACTTTTTAGAAATATTTGTTATTGTAATTTAAACATAGCCCTGCTCTTAACAAAAAAACAAAAATCTTACCACCAAAGTAACGTGCAAACTTTTTTGTCCCATATTGGACCCAAAACAAAGTAGTTCTATATTATTACCTTATAGTTAATTACATACAGCGTCATCTATCATTATAATGATTTGACTTAAGGTAACTATTTATAGAACTCTTGTTTTTACAATATTAATGTTAATTGTCCAATAACTATAAAGTGTCCGATAACTGTCTACTTTACCCTACCATTTAAAACTTCAAAATCGGTTAAAAATGTGTGAGTGCGTGGATTTACCTAAAAAATACGGTTAACCATAAATAAATCATTTAATTTCTCTTTTTGTGACATTATTAATTTAAATAAAATATTTTAGAATGGTTTGACTTCTCTTCATCTATGCGCACAAGAAGACAAAGTACCAGCTGCAGAAATTTTAGTGAAAAATGGCGCAGAAGTTGATACAGCAACTAAGGCCGGGTACACACCATTACATATCGCTTGCCATTACGGGCAGACGAACATGGTGAAATTCCTATTGGCCAATGGTGCCAACGTTCAAACAACAACGGCTCTAGGCTACACGCCTCTACATCAAGCGGCTCAACAAGGGCATACGAACATTGTCAATATTATGTTGGAGAACAAAGCCGACCCAAATGTGATTACCCACGTAAGAGAAATATGTTTATAAATAATATTAGTACTATTAAATAATAATCTTTTAGAATGGACAAACTCCTTTAAACATTGCCGACAAGTTAGGATACATAACAGTGATCGATACATTAAAAGTTGTCACTACAGTCACCACATCACCAAATGCAACTCCAAATGGAGATGAAAAGTACCGCGTAGTAGCGCCAGAAGCAATGCATGAAACCTTTATGTCCGACTCCGAGGAGGAGGGAGGTAAGGAATTTCATGTGTAACTAACTATTTTTTTCACTGTAGATGTTTACACGTGTCCATATTATAGGTGATTCATAATGTTACAATAATTGTTTTAACGGATAAGTAATTTAAATCGACGTGAGAACTATTATTAAACCAAAACAAATGTTGGAAGATTATGAATATTTTACCTCTAAAGCATTGTTGGCGCAATATCGCTTCTTTTTAGATTTTTATTTAAATTCATGCATGTTACGTCATCTCATTAAAATTAACACAGTTTTTAAATTAATTATAACCTTGATTTTTTAATTTTTAAGTGCATTAAATTTTTTCACACTTAGATATACCTAAGAAGATTTATTTTTATTTCTTAAAATTAAAACAAAGTTAAAGGATATTAACCAAGATAGGGATGAGCTTATAAAAATACCTTGATAAACCTAGTTTATATAGAATCCTATAGAATTTTAGCAAATTTAGAAAGAATTTCTTATAAAATTGTACAAAATAGACGTACCTATTTTAAAAGTTTATTTAAAGTGATGTGCCATAAAAATGAAGCTTCTTGCTTGTGCTTTATGTTAACCAAAACTAATAAACAATTTATTAAACTTAAATCAAAACAGGGGAGGATCTGTTGGACGGATACGGTACAGCCCCCCACGAACGTCATATCTATCTCCCATATTTCAGTGGTACATCTCTAATGTCCCGTAAGTCATCAACCCAACCAACATATTACCCAACCACAAACGGACACAGATCCAGTTTAACCATTCATTTATTTCTAACCATGTAGTTTCAGTTGCTGGCTAACACGCTTTTTATTAACAGTAACACAACTAAACAGTATATATATTAGGAAACAAGGAATTGAAAGCGTAATTGTTTAAAATAGTCCAAAACTAACATTAGTCCATCGTTTTAATCATATAGGGTATTGTCAAATAACCGTGGCAAGCATTTGATTTGTGAACTAATTTAAAAAGAAACTTTTTAATGTGGAAAACTTAATGGAGGTATACCAAATGTTATTTTAATACCCTAAATCGTTTTTAATTTGTTAAAAAGCTTGGTAACTCAAATACTAACATCGAATTTTCGTACTTTTATATGCATTTTTGGTTAAATATTTGTGTAAGTGGGATCCGGTGGTCCTCGGACCATTTAAAAAAAATTGTTGTTTTTTAAGTTTTTTTAGTCTCGTTTTAAATAATTGATAACCCTAAAAGATTTATTTTTACATTCACACACAACTCAAGATAGACCAATTTTTAATAAATTGAATGTTCTGCCTGATTTTTTAACACTTAAGTAAAAATTAAACATACATACAAGCATACCAATTACTTTGAAAATGTCTAGCCAGAAGAGGCAACAAGGTCTCGACATTTTTTATTGTACAATTTGTTTGTAAATTATTGTTATTTTAACTTCAAAATTCGAATTACGCCATTGTTTACCACATTGTTTTGAAACACCCTGTATACCTACACACATATCTAGCCCACTAAAACAATTATTAACCTTTAAGGTCATTCTCATAAATAAACTGTTTTGTTTATTTGTTCCTTATTAGAGCGGAATGTATCTAAAAATAAGATTTTGCGTAATATTTGCTCGTTAACTAAATTGGAAAATTGTTTGTTAATTAAACTAGGTTTTATTTTATTATTAGGTACGTGCGAAATTTGTAACACCGTTAAATAATTTAGTAAAAATATAAAATATGTCGAACAGAAAATAAATTTCAAAATATTTTTAGTGATTACAGACTACAATTGTAATTTGTGCAGCGCAGGCCTTCAAAATGTATACTTAATATGAAAATCACGCTTCAAAATGCATTATATTCACCAAGTATTGCGTAAAACTATGATAATTTATTACTTAATTCTAAAAGACACATTTGTTTGTGTTTATCCTCCGAATAAATGACTTTCCGGTGTCCTCGTAGTTGAACACAGAATCCGGGCCTGGATTTGATCACGGGTTTTCTATATTCTGTCACGCTTTACAAGTTGTAAATTATAACATAAAAAATTGTCTCGGTAAAACATGCTGCGGAATTTGTGATCTAATGTTTATGTTTACAATTTTATTACAATAAGAGAACATGGTTTTATATGTTTTTTAATGTTAAATTTATATGGGTGTTTTATTGCAATGGAAGTTGACCAAAATTTAATTGCTATATCTATCAGAAATTCTGGTTGATGTTTTTGACTACAGATGAGTGGATGATAAAAAATGTGATTTATGTTACCTTGTATTTACATATATTTAATCTTTAATGAATAAAATCTTCAATACATCAATTTAATAAAATTAAATGTTTATTGTATATTTTACTCGTTACATTTGATTTACAAGTAAAAATAAATATAAGATTATTTTTTGACTGCATTTAGATTGATATTTTAGCTAGATAAAAGTGTATAGATACCTCTATTTATGAAGATAAAGTCTAAAGTCAATAAATAATTTCTAAAAAAACTATAAATTTTTAAGTTTATACTTATTGCTTTAATTACATTAAAATTATAATAGTTAACATTTTTATTTATTTCCAGGATTTTGTCTAAATCTTGTTTTAATTCCGTAATAAAAATATTTCTTTTTAATTTAAAATTTCAAGATTTGCATATTATATCACTGTTTGACAAATTTTTTAATTTTTACCATGGAAGTATTTTCTTTGAGCTTTAGTATTGTTTATAAATGCGCCATTGAAAAAAAAACTATATTTTAATATACAGTGGGTGCGATTTAAGACCGCAACACCCCATTATTTTGGAACGCGTTGACCGATTTTAATATATATTTTTGGGGACCTATTGCGCACACTGTATAAATTATTATTTTCTTATATACGTTATATTAAGTAATAAACAATCGTATTTAAATTATTTATAAACTATGACTTACCATCCAAAATAATAACACAGCCGTTGATGGTCATACAGTTGCTTTCACTTTTTGTACTACTTACGCATAAATCAAGTAAATCAAAATAATAAAAAGGAAAAATTGATTATGCCTTGAATACATTATTATTAAGTTCTGATATTCTTAATTTAAACAAAATTGCAGTTAACACACCTACGACTGTTTATAATTTAATTAGGCAAAATTTGTGTCATCAACTTTATGACCTAATGCATACCGAAATAGCCATGAATTGCGATCGCTCGCATTTTTCAGTTTCCATCATTTACATCTCGCGCGTCGTGAGGTTCTCAGCTCGCGTTTAAACTTCGATTCCTTGTTTCAGTGATATGAGTACCTACTATTTTCGATATCTCTTCTCTTGTGGTGCATGTGTTGACATTTTGTGCGTTTCTAGGTGAGGATACCTTGTTAGGTGACCAGACTTACCGGTACCTCACAGCGGATGAAATGAAATCGCTGGGCGACGATTCCTTGCCCATCGACGTGACAAGGGACGAAAGGATCGATTCCAACAGGATGGTGGCCAGCGGTGACAGTAACATGTTGCCCCCGCAAAATATCGAGGATAACATCAGTCCTGACCACATCACGCATAATTATGTGGAGTACATTAAAAAATACCAGCCCGATAATGTGGATATTGCCAGACATCCCATCAATATAGGGTATGTTATTTTAAACTTAAAAACAAAAAATATGCCTGCATATAAAAATAAGTATTTATAAATTTAATTCATTTGGAATAACAAAGGAATTTCTATGAAATAAATATTTTTCAGTCGGAATCTGTACACTATTTAATAAAATTTATTAAACCAGTTCTATTTTAAACCATATTTTTCATTGAACCTATTAAAAAATTACCTAAAAATATATAAAAGTAAAGGTAAATTATTTTAACAAGAATACTAAATTATTTCGTCTTTTTGTATTTTAATTATTAAGTGTCAAAGAACATTCAGTAAAATACAGTTATAGTTTTAACATTTTTTTTATTGTAAGATGCCTTTTAAGGCGGCTTAAAATTAAAAAGAAATTTTTTTTAATTTTGACTTTGAATATCGATCAAAGCTTTAAGTTTGACATAACACAGATATATTTTATTCACAACTTTTTGATTTTGATTTTAATTTCTTCTACCATGTGTACCTAAATATTTATAGGGGTGAAAAAAATAAAACTTTATTTTAAATAGTGAGGAAAAGTTAAATTATGCATGGAATATGCATAATATGTATTATTTAATGCACAAAAAGTACAAGTTTAAATTAAAAAAATAATACCTACTACTACTCCTTAACATCGGTCCTAGAATACAAGGAACTGATATTGTAGCAATGTTTAACGTACCTTTTTTATGCCTGCGCTACGCTGGATTCATATATCTTTAATAATTTCATATTTAAGCATAATAAATTATTATCCATTTCTAATTATTATTAATTATTCAGCTCTGATCGTCGAGTAAGTAAGGGTTCTCCAACGTCCAAATGAGAGATTTTCACAGTGTAACATTCGTGCAAGATTACTTACATGAGGTGGGTGTTGAAACTTTAGACTGGCTTGCAAATAGTTCGGATCTCAACCCCATTGAGAGATTGATAATATGGGTAGACGTCTAAGAAATCATAGTCCCTTGCCTGCCTCCCTTGATGACGTAGCAAATACACGAGAAATATGGAATGTCATTGATCCATGCGAGATTAGACATCTGGTTTCGACTATGAGCCGTCGATTTGAAGCCGTAATTAGAAGTAGAGGTGAAAATACGCGATATTGATATTCTTTATTGTTGGTTCGTCCTTTTTACATTTTTTTATTAAACTTAAGTTCTTTAACTGTATATTTTTTTTAAATAAATATAACGCGTTGAATTAAAAAACAAAATGTTAAGAAAAGATGGGGTTATAGTTTGATTATAAGAGACATATGCTATTATAGCTGGTAAAGCCCACAGGGCGTTTCAAATTTACATGAAAAAACTTATTATTACTCTTGCACCCTGTATCTACTCAAAACGTAAATTAAAAAAAAATATATAAAGGCATCATAACCAAAGAATAAACCTACAATTCGCGAAAAAATCAACTTTAAAATTGTGGCAAATTTTTAGTGGTGCGTTAAATTTGACGCGAAGTGTATATTAAAGTACTTGCCGCTCGACGGATTTGAAATGCTTAAAAAAAATCCGGCATTTATTCGACCTTTCGTACTGCCAAAACTAAATTTTAACGCCGGTGATTACACCGACTTAATAGACTAGCACGCCAGTGCGTTCACATCTCCTTTAATTTTTCAATATTTATAAAATGATAATATACAAAAGTTTATATACAAAAGTGCTATTTTAGTTCGACCCTTACTTCTTAAGAAGTCCCATAAGCCAACTGAATGGCTTGTGCGGGTTAGGGGTGGGAACGGACCGCGGGCTTTAAGTCCCCTCCGAAGGACTAATACACAATAGGACAAACACAAATAAACAGCCATACTCCTGGTGGGATTCCAACCCACGACCTCCGGCTTGTAGTCAGCAGCACTAACCACTAGACCACCGTCGATAAAAAAGGAATAAAAACAATATTAAGACAGATATAAATCTAGAAGTGGCTTTTTCCGTGTCATACCTAGCCAGTAAAATTGTGACTGAGGCTGTTATATCAGTTCTTGGTATAAGAAACGAAAATAATTTTATTTAGACGAGAATAGGACAGTAATGCCAAAGTTTAATAGAAATCACAGTAGTAAGCAGTAAGCTCCCACTATTTTAAAAGCAGATGGCACTTACGGCGGGTCGAGGACGTCAACACTTCGGTACTGAAGACAGGATTCGGTACCTCAAGGCGGAAACCGGAAACCGACTCGGACAGAGACTTGTGTTGTACACCAACAAGGACAGGTTCTAGCAGCGTACTAACACTCCGATCCCCATTCATGAATCCCAATTGAATGGGGATATTAATAAAGCCCCGGTTAAAGAGAATTCCGGATTGTACTTAGTTTTGAGTCAGTTTAATGTTCTCCAAAAACCAACATTTACCATCCTTGTCCCGCTCTCCACTAGCCTAAACTGGGCGTATGGCCCGACCTGGCGACAAAAATCCAGGGGTGGCCTTAACCATCGACATTGTCATCCCCGACCTCCTATGGTAGATCTACCAGCCGGGGTAAAAATTCGGATCCAACAAACATAGGTAATGCTGTGCAGTTGCGGGATACGTAGGAGAACGGAAAGGGGGTAAAATAACCCTGGGAGGTTAGTGTAAGGTGATGTCGATGGGGCCTGCCATACGTCCCCATACTTATACTCATACTCATATAAAAACAATATTATGACAGATATTAGTCTAGAAGTGGCTTTTTCCGTGTCATACCTAGACAGTAAAATTGTGACTGAAGCTGTTATATCAGTTCTTGGTATGAAAAACGAAAATGGTTTTATTTAGATGAGAATATATTCTAGGACAGTAATGCCAAAGTTTAATAGCAAGCACAGTAGTAAGCAGTAGTAGTCAGTATTATTTTTTTACTGTACTTCTTGTAGAAGTAAGAATACATTAACTGTTGTCTGTTAAAGACTTTTTTATTTGCATTACATAATATAACTTTTCCCCATCATTTCAAATTAAAAATACGATTTTTATTATTTCTACAGACCCCATTGGGGGGACCCCAATATACTATGTATGTATATACTTATGGCAGAGATCAAAAGACATATCAAAATCATTTGCCTTTTCAATTTGCTTTCAATTTTTAGCTCTGGTACCTGGTACTGGCATTTTCATAAAATTATTTATAAAAGTAAATGTCACTCAATTTAATACTTAAAAATTAACTTAAAAAGTTATTATTTAAACAATTAACAATATTTTTTCCAAGCTATTTTTTATGTTGGTTTTATTTTTTAAGATCAACTTTTTTTGTAATTTTTTTTTAAATTTGTGAGACAAATTTTATTTACCCAGTAATGTAATTATAAATTTAAAAGAAAAATATTTCAATTTATTTAAAATTAATATTACTATGAAAAGATCTATTTTAAAAATAAATAGCACTTATACATATACAAAATTAACATTGCATTTTACTGTAATCAAAAGAGTGTAAAATTAAAATATTTATAATTATTTATTTTTTTTATTTTTAATTGATTTTACTGATTGGGCTGATAAAAAAGACGGAATTGTCAAATTAAAATGATTAATGCAAATATTTTTTTGTGTAATAATTTGGCCCCTGTTTAAATAATTTGTAATTATAACTTTAAACCAATAAATTTTACTTTCAACTTTTAAAATACAAACTTAATTGTTTAAATAGAAATTAAAAAGCTACGACATTGACGGTTATATTTAAAATATAATTTCATTAAAATTCCTCTTTGTTATTGGGATTTGTACATAGAAAATAACATGTTTAAAATATTGCTGATCAATTTGTTAGTATTTGGTTGTGTCTAAAATGGTATGCAAATGTTATTGCTTATGAAACTACCACGCATTTTCCATCCAAAGTGCATTTGGATATTTAATCTGTAAAAATATTTATTTAAATAAATATTTTAATTATAATATATATTTAAAAAAAAATGGACACAAAATTTTCAAAATTTAAAAAAAAAATCAATTTTAAGGGTGTACTGTGCAGTCAAAAAATGCATATTTTGTATTATACCCTTAAGGTAAATAATTAATTTAATAGCATAAATTAAAACATTTCCATTTTTTATAACTTATTTATTTGCTATTTTTCTTATTTCCTATTGCTGCAGAAAATTACATTGGAAAAAGTAAGTTGGCTTTATATTTTATAAACAATGGCTAAAAATAGAATGCGCCAATTTGTTTGTTATTCAATTTTCCCGTTTTAAACTATTATTTATTGTTTAAATCTGTTTTAATACAGATTGGTGACTCATATAGTGTTTTTCAATTAATCTTAGGAAAAATATTTGAATGTTATTTGGAAATTAAGTGTTAAATGGCTAATTCTATTTTTTTAAATTGATATAATATTCGTAGTTGTAAAATTATTTAAGTAAATTTGTTTTCTTCAAAACAAATTTTTAAATAAAATCCCATTGTGTTGTCGGTAATTGCTTGAGAAGGTTTACACAGATTTATCCTTTGACCTGATATTAAATGCTCGTGCGATTGCGTAATACGTAAATGTAATAATAGAAATAATGTTTTGGTTATATTTTTACCAATGTGAGAATTAGCTGAAGTGTTTACTGTCAAGGTGATTAAGACATTCCAATTTTTTAATGGATCTGATTGCGGATTGAAGTGTTCTTGGTTTAAATCATAATTAAGCATCTATTAATAATTATTTTAATTATAATTAATGTATAGGTAATAAATATACCTACTTCTTAACCGTTTTAAGAATCAAGATAGATAAAACATTTTTAAAGCGGCCTGGTACCTAGGTACCTACTTTTTTTGTAGAACAAAACCCCAAATCAACTTTGAAAATTTAGCTCAACTTAAAAATTATGTCTGTTTGAAGTTTGAGTGGCTAATTCGACAATATTTGATAATAACTCGTATTTGTTTCAATGCATTTTTTAATTTAATTGATTATTTAAAACATATTTATAAATTTTAATTATTAATTAAAATGTATAAAATAAAGTTTAAAATTGGTTTTTAAATGAAAATCA